GCGAGCCTGTCGCAATCAGGTGCATTTGCCAGATTTGTACGCACCCTAATCTGAGCACCTTCGAGATTTCAAAAATACTCCACAGAATGTACTCTCCCATTATCAAGATGGTACACTTTCAAGTGCCAGTATGTTTTTACAGTGTATGAAAAAGTTGCGGCAGTACAGGTACAGGTTGTGACAGCACATTGTACGGACAACGGCACGTCAGATTACACATTTTTGTTCAAAAATCGCCTCCAGTGCGACAGAACAAGATACGGTAATGTGTAGCTTGATGTGCTAGCGTGTGTACTTCATGCTCATATTACTTCAGCGTCCTGATTTTGATTCTAATCGGAATTGATCCGATCGGGTAGTCTCGAAATGAGATGGGTTTCTGAGCGAGAAGATAAACCTGATTTTCCTACTATATCTTTCTAATTAACTGCCTCCGTGGCCGAACGGTTACCATACCGGACTGCCACGCAGAGGTCCTAGGTTAGATTCCCGGGCCGGGAGAAATATTTGTATGGCCTACATTTATTTCTCTCGTGAGTTTGGGTGTAATTTGTGTTTGTCTATGTATGTGTCCATGGCACCCGCGACACAGGGTTTCCCTAGTGCGGGGCTATGTTGAGTGTGTGCGTTATTAAAAAAAAAATTGTGAGTTAAATTAACCCCTTCGGTACAATTGGTCTGCTTTCCCGAGCGGTCCACGTGTTTTTCCTGATTCTTCTATTTCCCATTTCGTCTACTTTCCTGTTTGGTCTACTTTCCCATTTCGTCTACTTTCCCGTTTGGTCTACTTTCCCGATCGGTCTACTTTCCCGATAGGTCTACTTTAATGATGCGTCTACTCAGATAATCTCGGGACAGAGTGCTAAAAACCGACCTCAAAAGCTTGTGGAATTACATCCATTTGCCAAGTTTTATTGAAATCGGTTACCGAAAAGTCCGCGAATCCGGCTTCACGCCCTAGTTTGCCACCCTTAGAGATGGAATGTTTTCTTCAAATTTAAATGCACCACTATTGAGGTACCCTCTTTTCAACAAAAAAATAATCCTCAAAACCGGTTGTGCCGTTGTGTTATCGCGTGGTATACATAAAAAAAATACAGCCAAATTGTGAACTTCCTTCCTTTTTTCTGAAGACGGTTAAAAACAAACTGTTTACTTGATTTTGTTTTTTCAAATCATGGTTAACGTAAAGCGGCCATCATTGTAAAACATGTACTCCATGACAATCTGCAATTATGCAATATTACAAACTGCCTTTGAAAATTTGTAAAACGAATTTTTTTGTAAAATTTTATTAACTGTCAAGGTGGACTATTTGAACAAGTGGACCGATCGGGAAAGTAGATCGATTGTACCGAAAGGAAATCAACTATTGTTCCGATTAGAAATGTCAAAAGTTTCCGATCGGCCAGTTCTGAATCGCAATTATGCGCCTCGACTGGGAAAAGACGCAATTTCAACGCAATCAAATTCAAGCTGCAGAGGGTAAACCTACAAGTCTGTAAATATGAAATAAAATTCACAACCAAAATTTTGGTGACTTACAAAAATGTTCGCAGTGAAATGATTTTCGGTTGGAAATTGGTATGGAGAACCATCTATCTATTTTGACAGAATTTTGTTATTAAATTTACTTTTTTTAATGAGTATGTAGGTACTTCTTACAATAAAACATTTAAAAAAAACTTTATGTATAATAATTTCAGTACAAAGTACTAAAAAAACCGACAAGTAAAGACAAGAAAAGTACATGGAATTACATATAATTACCAAGTTTTATTGAAATCGATTACTGGAAAGTGCGCAAACCCAGTTTCATCCCCTAGTTCGCCACTATACGGGACTTCACACAGGAGATGATAAAAATCGGTTCTCACTACTCAAAGTATATTGAGAGAGAAAAACGCCTTGAATTGGAGAATAGCAAAATCAATCATTAAAATAATTGCTCCTCATAATAACATTTACGCGCTATTTATAAAATGAATCTTAATGAGTAAACAGCCGCCCTTAGGAGTAGATGATTTACTTTAAAATTAAATGGGATCACTATGGAGGTACCCTCTTTCCAACAAAAAAGAATTTTTAAAATGGGTTCACAAATACCGGAGTTATCGCGTAACATACACACAAAAAAACATACATTCGAATTGAGAACCTCCTGCTTTTTTGAAGTCGGTTAAAAAAGGTCTATTAAAGGTAATGTTTTGTCCCGGCTACAGACATATATTTAGGAGTCTGTGGTCCCGGCCTATGAACACAACAATTTAAGGCTGAAAGGACTTGTATCCAAGCCAAAAATTCTTTAGAAAAAACCAAGCTTTCAATTCAAATGTCAAAACAATCTCACGTGTGATTTTTAATCGATGTTAAAAGTTTAGTTAAGTACTTTAATGAAATAAAATAATTCCGACGAAAATGGGTAAACGAAAGTTCAGTGGAGATAAAGAAGTATCACCTAAAAAGAGTAAGTTTAAGGAAGACAGTGACGAACTTGAAGAACCACCATCGGAAGAAATTACCCAAAATGAAACCAGAACACCGTCAAATCGCCATGGATTCGACGTGAAACACTTTCGGAAAGAATTATCTACTAAACAAGGGCAGACTATGGGTAAGACACACAGCTCTTTCTGAATCTACTTTGTTAGGTTAGATTTGACAATTATTGTTTTTACTTTACTAACAAATCTTTATATTTGATAAATAAAATGGGAAGGACTGTACATTACCATACCAGAAGGGGAGGGGACCCTTCGTGCAAAATTTCAAAGTTAGGATGTCAATAGTTTTCGAGATATTAATTTTTGAAAATTCGAAAAAAATAACCTCAAAAAATCATGTTTTCGCACCAAACATAGCGGGGTATACCCCTCTCTCCGAACCCCTACCGGGAAAAACCCTCCAACGTGAGTGGGGAGTTAAGGACCCCCCTTGCACTTTCTGTGTTATATGAGAAACTAAATTGAACTTAAAACCAGGCAAAAACGCAAAATCCTAATTGATGAATACATCAAACAGTAAACAACAACAAGGCGTCCTTTTTGCATTTCGCTATTTTTTTGCAACAAAAAATAATTGTTCAAAAATAAAAGCTTACATACTAATTATAGTAAATTTCAATGTTAAATTTACAATTACTTATTAATTTATGCTGTTTAATTCAATACTGCAAAAAATTTTTGAAATATAAAAATGTTTATTTTTTTGCATTATTTAAAAAAAAAATACTGCAACAACCAAATGCTGAGCTTTCCTAACCTACAAAACGTGTTTCCTATCATTTATTTTCGAATATTTCAATAATTTTTATTTTCAAAACTACGAGTTTCCTAAAGCTAATATTTTAGGATTAGACTGCTATGTAATCTATTCACCATTTTAATTTGTCAACTTGTGTGATGGTAATGTACAGTTGAGCCATAAAATGAATTAAAAACACGTACATGTTATTTTATTCCAGTTCTGACACAATTTCTACAAGTGTGCCTAAACCCGGACAATGAAGTTGATTTCTTACTGGAGTACCTCAAAACCGGCGGTAATTCACACGAGATTCTTCGACAAATAGGAGACAACAAGAAGAATCTAACACTGGCCACACCCGCATTCCACATCTTCCACCTGATTATCCTGAAGGTCCAATCTTCCCTACCTCACATGATTGCAGTTACTGAGGAAGCTTGTCGTTACTTTTTGAATACATTTATGCCAACAGTGGAAATCATGATTAGTGAAAACTCTGGTCCACGTCACAGGAAAATAATCCTCAAACTTCTGACTTCCATTGTTACATTAAACTTTGATTTAGGGATAGAAGTTTTAAATCAGGCTCCATTAACTCCAAAACACTTGCAGTATATTGTGGAAAAGTCAAATTATAAAGAAAAAGATAATGTTAGAACAGCATTTGTTCACTTCATGACTTCATTCCTTGTAGATGGACACTTACCTTTAATGAAAGCTTTGTTGGAAAAGCAAGGATTATTGTCCCTTGTCATACCTGGTTTAGTTTTTGATGAGGCTGAAGCCGTATTGATGTTTTTGAATATTTTAAAGAAAAATGTAATTGAAAACAGTTTCATATCTAAAAGTGTGAAGCTCAAAACTTTCAGTCATCAAGTGCTGCACAATTTGTTCAAATTGTTCTCTTGGAAAGGTCCTCCTAAAGTGGGGCATGAGGGGATAAATGAGTCAAAATCAGAAATCATTGGTCTCTTAACAGAAATTATACTCATACTTTTCACATCACATAAATTAGGCCTTTATTTTACTGACAGTACTTTGGGCGTAGCAGATAGTAACAAAAATCAAAACTTATACAAAGCTTTGCTAACATTAAAAAGACCTTGGGAAAATGAACATGAGTTAGATGTCATCCTGCAGATTGTTTACAAATGCCCAGATTTACACAGAGCTATAATAAACATTATTGAGCAAAGTTTTGAGCCACAACACTCTCCTCTTTGGGAGCGTACTACAGGTTTTGTTTTGAAGTTGTTAGAAAAGTTTCAACCGGAAGAGATGATTCCAAGAATGAGTAAATTGTCTTCTATCCAAGCTGCAAATTTTGCCAGATTCACAACATTACCCGTGCCATTGTTGAAATTTATTAATGATAAGTTGGGAAAAGATCACACCGTCTCTCTGTATTGTATTAGAGTGTTGGTAAAAATGTTGCAAACATTGAGAAGATACATGCAGATTATAGAGATGAATGATACACATCAGGTTTCAGATTTAAAGAACAAATTGGATTATTTTGTACCCAAACATTTGCCAGCTCCATCCATTGTAGTATCATTAATTAACAATGTTCTGGATGGTAAAATAAGTACACAATCTACACAAGATTATAGACTTCCAGAAATCAATAACACAGAAGGTCTAATTTTACTGGTGGATTTACTATTGCTGTACAGTGATATCCATCCTGCATTCTTTGAAACTCTAGAAGGAAATTTGGATATGAAGAAACTTCTGGATTTTTCAGCAACTCTTTCAGAAGGACTGGTACCTCTTTTGAAATTTAAAATTGTTTCTCTATGGCTTACATTGGATAGCTCTGCAATATCTCTGAAAAATTCAATGTTTAAGGACCTGTTTCTCATAATGTTGGAAGTTTATACAAGTGATGATGATACAACATGGATAGAAGCTAAGGATACTTTACTCAAATTTTTCAAAAATACTTCCATTTTTGAAGCCGATGATGACGAGATTCATATTATCTTGTACACATTAAGGAACTCTAAAGTCAACCCATCAAGTATTATTGCAGATATTGTCGAGTATGTTTTGGCAAATATTAAAGACCTATCTGAATATGTTAGACAACAGATTGTACACTTTGAAATTGCTGATGAGAATACCCAGGCGAATTTGGATAAATTGTTTAACAATTTGATGTCGAATCGCAATATAGCTGAATCAGTTTTCTTAGAAAACAAAGTACCTTCACCTTTTATTGTAGGATGTATGCAGTTTGTGCACAATAATAAAGATGCAAAAAAAAATTTGAAGCACTTTCTTTCTCTGTTCATTGCTAATTTACTTCATTGGAACTATTCTCCTGAACTTACAGAAGTGTTAATAGGGGATTCTAAATTAGACATCAGAAGTTATGTAGGTGGATGGGTTGGACAGCCAGTTCCTTTGCCTGAAGCCATTACACACGACAATGCATTAAAAAGTATATCGAAATCTCTGATTGAGAATGTAGAAGCACCCTTAGAGAACATTTTTGACTGTCTAGAAGTTGTATCTGAAGAAGACAGCGACATTATGTTGGGAGATTATTATTACAAAATAAATGTTTCCAAGAGCATTGATAGTTCAGAGTTGCTGGTTTGGTCCAAGTATCTAATATTTTGCTTAGTCAGACTGACAAACATAAACCAATTGACGGAAGAGAGACATAAGAAAATATCGAAGTATTTTAAATGTATTATTGCTATTGGAAAGAAACAGCACATGATAGACGTATGTCGATCAATAATTTTGGCTTTGTTTAAAAATCCACACGTTTTGAAAATCTATAGACCTTTGGATTTTAATAAAGAGGAGTCTTATATTCGTGCAACCAAGTTTCTCTTGTGGGTTATTACAGATTATGGAGATATTGTTAATTATTTAAGTAGAAAAGATAAATTACTGAAATCTTACCAACAAAAGAATTACAGTGAAATCGTGAACGCGTTTGTCAAGATAAGTAAAAGAAAGAATATTAATAGTACTCATACTATTCAAGTTTTGGAAACTGTAGGACTTAGTAATGAAGATGATTCAAATGTGTTTGGTCAAATATTTGAAGCAGGAATTGATTCTTGTGTAAATGACAAAGAACCAAGTCTTGTATTGGAGATACTACGGGTCTTGATGGATAAATATTCGAAAACGATTTCGTTAGAATTACATTCCAAACTATGGAAGAAAACTTTAAAACTTTACTCAGATTTGCTCACGAATAAAGATTTCGTCGTAAATTTGGAGAATGTAGAGAAATCTTTCATACAATACTTAGAAAATAAACCTCAGCGAATAATTACTGTGGGTGAAGATATTTTCAAATCATTTTTCGAGGCAAGCACAATACGTAAATCTACATACCAATTAGCTGCTCTTTTAATGACACACAACATAAAACTTTGCACCATTTTCAAAGAGCAGATATCTAAACCAGAAATACTAAGCCAACGGGAACTAACATTACCTTTAGGCAACGCTATTATAAATCACAACCATTTTCTAACAGAAAACAAAGAATTTTTACATACAATTTTCAATGAGTACAAATCAAATATTATCAAATTCTTGGAGAAACCACATAAAGCTGGACAAATTTACATTACTTGCTGGAAATTTATAAGAAAATTAATTCTCGAGTGCATGGAACCTCAGGAATGTGAAAAATTGTTCACCAAAATTCATAAGTTTGAAGTTGTCGAATTAAGTCATATACATCTTCTACAAACCGTATTTGTTAAAACATGCCTCGTTGAAAAAATACATAAAAAGGAATATTTTATGAACTATATGTTGTCTATGTTAAATTTGACGACAGCAGCCCTAAAAGAGAATAAAGAAGTACACGTAATAAAGGACATTGTAACCACTATTTACAGTGTAACACAAATATCAAAATATGTAAAAGGACTTAATATGGAACAGAAGGAAGAATTTCAGCACGTTACAGAAAGCGCAGCGTGGCAGAACTTTTGTAAAGCTATTTTGAAAGACTCGTTAAAAATTAGGACTGCCGATCACGATAACACTTGCGGACCTCATTTGCTATATTTGCTCAAAACTTTGGTGCAGTTATTCTACAAAACAGATCACGAAGATATTGTGATGCTGTTCGAAATGGTAACATCACATTCTGAGTTCTTAAATGTGATGCTGAGCCACCACAGTTCGGATATAAAGTCCAGATTGATTGAATTCCTCTTTATTCTAATGAATTCAAACAAATCTGTCATGAAGATTCAACATGTTCCAGTCTACTTGAGCGCATATCACGCTACTCGAAGTCCTTGCGATAGAATGTTGCTGAACATTCTTCATTACTACGAAAGTAATGGGTTACCTGTGAATGAATATAAACCTTATGTCTGGGGTGATTCGGCTGCTAATCATTATGCCGTTCGCAAGAACAGAACCTCCTCGCTTTGGGCTCATCCTACTCCAAACCAGGTTCTAAACTTATTTGAGAAAGATATTTTAGACAAAACTGTTAGACATTTCCCTGTGACACAGCGTCTAGATTATTATTATGAAATTCCGTCAAACATTGATATGACGAATAACGACATGCAATTCGATAGTTCTGTTAAGACTGCACTGCTAATCATGTGTAATGATGCTATGTTCAAACCTCAAACGGTAAAAGACAATGAATCAGAGTTTAACCACCTTGTAATGAAGGCGAAGTACACCGATACAATTTTAAATTTGAAGTCACGAGATTTGGTACATGAATCACATATGAATGAAGATGAAGGAGTGTACGATCCTTTATTCATGTTTCCATTGTTAAGTCATCTACTAGCGCCTGGGTCAGCAGCGTCCTGCTTCAAGCTTCTAAGGACAGGACTACTGTCAGTGCCAATCGTGGCGCTAGGTTCTCACTGTCAATTGATGAGAGCTGCGGCCTATCACGTGTTGCACAGATTCTGCCTGCTCCTGGAAACAGAGACGTGAGTGTTTTAAAAGTCTTTTTGAATAATTTTGAAGCGGTTAACTAGTGCAGTGCCAAATGAATGACATTTTTGATCTCTGTGAATTATGGTGAAAACTCGAAGTCAGTCCATTTTAAGGTTATTGGTGTTGGTAAATGTTATAAGAAATTACTAATCAAACGTAATTTATTTTTCAGGAGACACAAAAACGACAAGTTGTTCCTGACCGATTTTATTAGCACACTTCGTCAAAGTCTATCGACTGCCATCCAAAATGGCGAAGAATCAATGGGAGATTTAAGAAATCCGCGATTACCTGCAGTATGTGCTTTGTATCTGGCCAAAGCTCTTATGACATCCACAGCGCCTTCCGATCCTCTGTACAAACCTGTGAATAACTTCTTCATTGCCAAACAAATCGTAGATTTGACTGTCATTCCAGATTTCCTAAGTCTTTTCCACGATAGTGACGTAGAAGCTGCGGAAAGAAGAGCTTGGATTTTAGACATCATTAGAGACGGCACAAAAACAATGACAGACGTAAACGTGGTATTTAAAACTATGTGTCTAAAGATGATTATGGACTTCAGTTCTTCTGTGTTGACAGATAGAAAAATGTTAGAGAAAATTTTAAGTGCGTTAACTTCTATAGTTGCAATACCAAAAGCATTTGAGATTTTGGTGGAAGGCTATGGGTTAATATCATGGTTGCATTCAATAGTAAGACACGTACGGGCAGAAGACAAGGCATTAATAAAGCCAGTGTGTCATCTTATAGAAAGCTTCTTACAAAGTATGCTAGTGAACTCATTTGCTAGGAACTTAAATAGCGTCGCCAAAAACGGAAAACCGATTGAATTTTCAGAACTAAAAGTTAACAAGGACGTGGAAAATGAGATTTTGAATATTTTGTATGATTTGTTGCAACGTATGGACGGTTTGGAAAGCGAAGATGTTGCTTTATATGTTAATGTCTATAAATTGTTTTCTAAAAGAGCTATTAAGGTGTTGTCAAAAAAGCAAATGTTGAACTTGATACGTAGAATTGCTATTTTTGACAAAGAAAGTGATGGCGTGAGTATATTGACAAAAGCCGTAGAAAGGAACAATGATTGCTTACTAAGAAGTAAAAATTTGCAAACCGAAGAGCCCTTCGTAAGTTTAACTAGTATTGTATGGAAATATCTTGCGTGAATTAATTAATGTGACGGCAGTGATAAAGTCTATTTTACAATTCGAAAATCGGCTGTTAAATTTCTTTAGCTTATGTATCTTTGTGATCGTTACGTTTTTGTACAAAATCATTAATTGAATAAAAGATTTATTTTAATAGTTGTTGTTATCATTTCAGAAGAGTATAATATCAATAAGTTTGAATTACTTCACTGTTGTTGATTGTAGGCACTGACAAGTTACTTTTGCGGCCTGAGTTGATACGTGTGTGTTTAAAAAAAGTAAAATGGACAGATGCTTCCCTAACGCCTTTATTACACACCTGAACACTGTTGATGAATTCTTCTCATCGTCTGCCATTTCCATCATCAGACCATGTGTAGGCCACCATCACATTGTATTTTCTTTGGAATTACATCTATGCGCCATGTTAATTGAAATCGGTTAACGGAAAGTGGGTGAAAATCGATAAACCACCTTCTAATTGCTACCCTTAGACGTATAAAATTTTCTTCAAATTGAAATGCGTCAAGTACTGAGTTACCACCCTTTAAAAAAAAAAGAAATATTGAAATCGATTTTAGAGCTCCTTGTTGAAAGAGTTCGTCTCAGGGAAGGGATTTGAGCATTACTGCGTTCCGGTTTCGAAGGTGCTGGTGAAATTACAGGCACATAGGACTTGTCAACTTATGTCTCAGGGTGACAGTGCCCCTAAGATCGTTGCGATTAAAAGCTCTGAGTAGCACTGCAACTGTTATGGATAGGCGTATCGCTTAACACCAGACATACGACTTGTTCGTCCCGTCTCTTGGGTTTAAAAAAAAAATAGACACTGAAAATACAGTGCAATTGAGAATCTCCTTCCTTTTTGAAGTCGAATAAAAATATTAAAACTGTATCTCGTAAGACTTGTGACAGTAAATTCAAAATGCATTTATATAACACTCCTGTATCGCAAAGAAATAAATGAGTTTAAATTTGAAACTAGACAGCCTTCAGCGCAGTAGTTAATATATCAACTTGTCAGCATCGTCTGGGTGTCACCACTGGCTTATACAAGTGTCAGACCAGTGGCTGGGCAGAGAAATCACTCTAGATGTCTATCCGTGGAAACTGCTTGTCAGTCGGTGAGAAATATTTTAAAAACACGTTAATAACATCGGGCAGTCACTAAGTCGATAATGCACGCAAGTATTTGTTATACTGTTTTTATTTTATAAACTAGACGACTTGTTATTTGGTTTTTGTGACTGATTGGACTGCATGAATTTAGTATATAAATTATTGAATGAGTGTCTACATAAAAAAAACTATGCCGCAAGACAGATCACAGTAATATAAAATTCATTCTTGTAACACTTTTAAAATCTACGTGTCACAAGGAAGCAAATGAATATGTAAAGTTAGAAAAAACTTGATAAATTCAATAAAATTACATCATGTTGAGGTTTTCAATTCAGTTACAATTGAAATTATCTAAATAAATGTACTCTGACGGTTAAGAATGTTAATTCCTTTAAACTTATTTTTCAGACACTAGTCCACTAATTTAAAAAAAGTATTATTGCGCGTCAACCCCATCTAGTGCGCCCAAAACGTCACAACATATCGGAACGACCATCTAGTCTTTTTGAATGTAGATGACGCTTTTCTCCAATGATCCCTGCCAAAATGTCACCTTATGCATGACCAAATATTATGATAATAACAAAGCGACTTCCGTTAACTTCCGTCTTAAGCGTGATTACCGACCTTCACCCCCGCGCGCCCCAATTATACTTAATAGTGTTAGAAGTTCCGCCATTAACGCTGGTTTGCGTTAGTAGCTTTCATGCGCACGCGTCTTTTCTCTTGTCGCTCTTTATTAGTTCGTGTTTAAGTACTTCACTGACATCGTAAATTCTGTGAATCTCTATGTGCCCCGTTTTTAGTTTATTTAGCCTTGTCAATTATATAACTGTAAGTAACTGAAGCACTTGTGTTATGCAAATCGGAAATGAAGACGGTAGCACAAACACCCAGCCCCGACATTGAAAACGGGATCTCAGAGATGACGACACCATGAAAACAGGTGTGCCAGCCACTCACTCGACCACGAAGGTCGTCAAAATTGTTTTGCATCACAAAGATTCTATTAATATCTATGGCAAACTTGTAAACATAATATTAAGTACTCGCGTTTCAGGTGGTAAATTAATATTTTGGAGTATTTTAGATTGCTGATGATACACTCCCAATCCAACACTTCCAGTTAGAGAGCGTTTTGGTGCGTCACTAAACATATAATACCAACCATCAAAATCATTCTCAGTACTAAAGCGTAAAGATTGTAGAGCATCCAAATGACTTTCTTAATTCCAAAATTTAAACGAACATCTGGTGTTAAAGTTAGAACCTCGTAAGTATAACAAAAAAGGGATATTGAGAATATTGATATGAATATGAATGAGGGGTTGAAGAGCAAGGTATGTGCGTTTATGTTTATCTAAGTCTATTTAACCTTAATCGCACTTGCCTGATACTTTCTTCCAAATAATTTTCCTTTTCATTGTTATCCATAAATAAGCTTCCCCGTTTTGCATTGGCACAAACGTAAACCGCGAAGTACCAGAAACAAAAGAAAAAAAGTTCTCCGTTTAATATAAAACTAAATCGTAAAGCAACTCTACATCACATTATAACTGCCTCAGTGGCCGAACGGTTACCATGCCGGACTGCCACGCAGGGGTCCCAGGTTCGATTCCCGGGCCGGGAGAAATAGTTGTATGGCTTACAATTATTTCTCTCGTGAGTTTGGGTGTAATTTGTGGTTGTCTGTGTGTGTGTGTCCAAGGCACCCGCGACACAGGGTTTTCCCTAGTGCGGGGCTATGTTGAGTGTGTGCGTTATTTATTTATTATTTATCACATTCCGTGACTGAGTGTACCTCTACAACAAATCTCAGTGGACCATAAAATATAAAAGCTGGTGACTGCACTAACGAAGTGGCTATGCGACACCATCTACGATAACCAGAAAGCAGATAGCTAATTTATGGCCGTCACAATACTTTCCCGAGATAGCAACGCATAGGTCCTGTATCTTCGACATGTGTTTTGATTGTAGTGACCCTGCCTGTCAATCTTTTCGTTATGCGGGAAGGAAACTATAACCTGTGCAAGCACAGGGACCTTCTACGTTCGGTCCTGACCCCGGATCAACCTGTGTTCAGACCGTAATCACTGACTTCATCCGGTTCTCAAGAGGCTAGTACCTCGGGTGAACCTTCCCGCGTGCACGTACAGTACCCTCTCTATTTTCCAGATGCACTCGCACTTCCCGTTGTGCATTGACTCTAAAGTCCACTACCAAATCGCCTCTGGTGGCGGAGTTGCAGGCACGCTCACCTCCACGCGTCTCTCCAGTTCCATTAATTTCGAAGCAGCTCGAAGAAGAGAGCTCAGAAGAGCTCCTTATCTATTTCTGCCGCTAAGCTGTATTGTTTTTCCGGTGAAGTGGGACTTATCATCTATATCTCAGACTGACGGGCGCAACGGCAGTGCCCCTCAGATCTTTGTAATTTAAAGCTCTAAGTGGCACTGCAGTTGTTAAGGACAGGCGTGTCGCTTACCATCAGGCGCACGAATTGTTTGTCCCGTCACTGGATATCATAAGGAGGAAACGTGTACCTATGCACATTGCAAAATGACAGCCAAATACTTCCTGTAAAGGTTTAAATTTTTTTTAAATTACCGCTTAAATATTTGTCCATATGGACTATTATTAACCGACTCCAAAAAAGGAGGAGGTTCTCAATTTTACGAGTATTTTTTGTGTGTATGTTAGGCGATTATTCCGGCATTTGTGAACCGAGTTTGATGATTTTTTTTTGTTGGAACCCCCTGTACCTCAGTATTGGTCCCATAAAAAATTGAAGAAAAATTCCACCTCTAAGTGTGGTAAAATAGGAGATGAACCCGGTTTCGCGCACTTTCCAGTAACCGATTTCAATAATATTTGACAAATAGAAAATTCCACGAACTTTTGAGTTCGTTTTTTTCTAATAAAAAAGTTATAATTATTTATAGAACTTACGTTTTATTTGTTTCTTTTATTTAATTGTTTATTGAACATGAAAATCACAAATTACATTTTACAAAAGAAAAACACAAATTAAAGGTTCTGCTTATTTCTAAAAGAAATTTCTTCCCGCAAACCTAAATACAGGACACAGTAACTAAAATAACATAACAATAATTACGTAAAACTAAAACAATATCAATAAAATTAAATTATTATTTTATTTTTTAAATATTTCCTACAGGTAACATAATTTTAATTACGCTTCGTGATAAAATTATATAACGTAAAATATATACCAGGGCTTTCATCTCGGGAATCTTGCTCTTGAAAATTTCACGAGTGTCGTCGTTTTTTCGTACTTTCAGTCTCGAGAATATTTGGACTTTAGAGACTTAAGTCATTTAATTAATAAATTTACTAAACCGACGGTAACATTATACTTTCGTTGCATGGACATGGCAACACAGTAGAGTGGAGCTCAGTAATTTATATAAGAACGATAATAATAAAATCAGGTCCTCTCTTTGTTTCTTACGTGTCCAATAAAATAAACGCTATAATTTGGGTCGCTGACTTATAAGTTTGGAAACTTATTTTTGTGTAAAAAATTAAATGGGCATTTGATCTCCATCTCACGAGAGAAAAGTAAGGACGAGGTCGACGATGTAAAATGTACACTTAATTAATGCCTTTTCACTCTCGCCTTGAAAAGGCCCAAATTATAGCGTTCAGACTTCAGAGACAGAATCGCTTCGTACGAATCCTTGGAAAATCCACAACATAGGGTGGAACCCCAGCCTACGTCTGTAACGCGGGTACCATGGACACATATAGACAACCACAAATTACACTCCAACCGGCCCAAACTCACGAGAGAAATAAAAGTAGGCCATACACATATATCTCTCGGCCTGGGAATCGAATCCTGGAGTCGGCACGGAGGAGGAAGGTGGAATTAT